ATTTCTTTTTTTCTTTCTCTTTTTTTTTTCTTTTTCTTTTTCCTTTTCCTTTTCCTTTTTTCCTTTCTTTTTTCTTTTTTTTTTTTTTTTTTTTTTCTACGAACGGAACAAAGTGTATCGTTTTTTCAACGAAAATCAATAAATATTCATTCCATACGTACGAATTTATATAAAATTATTTTTCCTTTATCACATTTTAGAAACAATGAAGACAATGGTAATATAGATCTATCGTAATGTTAAAATTATATATGTAATGATCTAATCGAAATAATTGATTTTTATAAAATCAATGTATAACGTTTCTTTTTGATCTTACATGATTGAAAAATTGTATAAGACGTTGTTAGACATCTTAGGAGATGATCTCCTCTCTCTCTCTCTCTCTCTCTCTCTACTTCAACGTGTTCTTTTATTTTCATCCTGTAGTAGAGAGCTTTTCAATCATCTCTTTCTATCCCTATCACTTCTCTCTCTCTCTCTTTCTCTCTCTCTCTCTTTCTTTATATCTTTGTTTCTCTCCGCACGAGAGAAGAGAGTGGGCGTTCCTTATCTCTCCGAGAAGCATAGTGACTTTTTTCCATACGCCTCGTAACTACGGATCACGTGTCTAATTGTTCGGATAAAACGGTGGAACGAGGGCACGGTGCATAAAGTACGTTTAGCTCGCTAGATCGCCCGTTCCAAGGTGCTTCAGCTTTCTCCTGTGCATGTGCGCTTTGTACACTCGGTGTACACATAGAAAGAAGAGAGAAAATCCATTCGATCGATTTAATAGCGTTAGACGTTGATTAGAACGTTTCTAAACGTACGTGATATTAATATCCATAAATTCTTATTTCACCTCTCTACGAACTCGTTCTCAAATCGGTTTTATATAGTTACATTTAACAAATCGAGATAAGAGATTAACCAACGAAGTAAAACGGGGTGAAAGTGTTACCTCGTAATATCTTATTTTTTGCCACCCCGTATAGGCATGTAAATGCATCGTGCAGATATATTTATGCGAGAGGGTATTACGGAGAGTGCGGTACCTACGTGTATCTTGATGGGAAACACTCCCACGATTATGTGGCATGCAATGCAATTCCCTTTGCCTTGCCCAACCGGCGAGCACCCAACATCGTTTTCTCTCTCTCTCTCTCTCTCTCTTTCCTTCTCTCTTTTTCTCTCTCTCTCTCTCTTTCCTTCTCTCTTTTTCTCTCTCTCTCTCTCTTTCTCTGTCTGTCTCTTCTTCTTTCTTTCTTCTCTCTCTCTCTCTCTCTCTCTCTCTCTCTCTCTCTCTTTCTCTTTTACTCTCATTTCGTTTCATTTTCTATCCCTCTCTTTTTATTTCTCCCTTCACATCTCGAGTTCACGTTCTATGGATGGCACCGGTATTAACGATCTAATTAAGAATATGAGCCCCGAGGCCTCCGTGAGATTCTTTCTCTCTCTACTTCTTTATTTTCATATTCTCCTCTTCTTAATCCTTATTCCTTCTTCGTTCATAAGTTCATAGTAAATCACAATAAGATTCACTCTTGTCCGTGATTCTTTCGTTCTCTTGAAGTATTAACATGAGATATCATAAATGATTTAATCACGTGAATAAAATGATTATTACGATAGATATAAAATTCTTTTCTCTTTTCTTCTTCCTTTTTCTTTATTCTCTCATTTTTATCTTTAAGTCATTCGATACTATATAATATATGTGAATATATTATGTGGACCGGAAAGTAATGTCGTTTCCGTGCATGTACGATATTTCATTGTAATTTAAAATAAAAATTTGTTAAAAATTTATTCTTTTGAATTTAATTTAAGAAAACGTCATTACTTTTCGGTCCACCTAATATATATATATATATATATTTATATATATATGGAATATAAATGATCCTTTTAAATTGCTTATACGTAAGAGTATTATATGGTAGGGAAAAATGATTTTTATGCCGAACGTTACGTTATAAATCGAAAGTCTAGAGAGACCACCAAAGGAATTTGGAGAACGGACTTGTGGGATACGAAAAACGGAAGACCTTTCGTCGCTCGCAAAGAAGAATCGGGTCTCGAAAGAGAGTCGAGGGAAAAAAAAAGAAAGAAAAAAAAAGAGAGAGAGAGAGAGAGAGAGAGAGAGAGTTGGCGAGTCGCGTAAAGGAAGAAGAAGAAAAAGAAGAAGAAGAAGAAGGAGAAGAAAGAGAAAGAAAAGAAGAAGAAGAAGAAAGAGGGTGGAAAAAGGTTGAGAGAAAAAAAGGCGGAAGGAGGATCGTCGGGAATCGGGGCATTAGCATAAGCTAAAGCGAACTAAGCGCGCCCATATAGCACGGAAATAAATAGCCTCCCATCTCCTATCTATGGGTAGACGCGAGGTTTAGTACGGAGCCCTTTCTCTCTCTCTCTATCTCTCTCTCTCTCTCTCTCTTTCTCTTTTTCTCTCTCCCTCTCTCCCTCTCTTTTCATTTTGTTCCTTTTCGTCCTTCTGCACTCATACCAAAAACCCTACCAACCACCTATCTCTCTTACAAGAAACCATATACGTGTTTTTGTTGTATGTGTAAAACAATAAATGTATGGTTTCTTTACACATACACACAAACACAGACACATATATATATATATATGTGTATATATATATATATATATATATATATATATATATACATACATAAGTACCTACGTATACATTTTCTATCAATTTATATGTTCCAGTATAGTTTAGTGAATATTTTTTGAATATTTTTATTTATCATTGTATATAAAATTTCTTTTTTATATAATTGAAGTTTCGATAAAAATATATATGTAAAAATATTAATGTCATCTCTTTTTTTTTTTTTTTTTTTATTAATTTTTATGCTTTAAAACGTAACGCATATAAATATAATTTCTGTCTATGTATATGTTTACATGTATGTATATGTTTCTTTTTATGTGACAATAAATTTAATCTGTTTTGTAAAGATTTGTTTATATATATATATATATTTATATTTTTTTTTGACATCGTATTCCGTCCTATCCTTCGATCATTGATTAAAATATTCACGTGTTACGTGTTGAGTCGCAAATTTTTCTCTATGAAAGAAGACAAAATCCATGTTAGGATGTTCGCGATCGTCGAATAGTGGTTAACTCGTTTTGCGAGGGAAGAGAAAGATGGGCCAAGAGATAGTTTGCGAGAATGCTCGACTCTTCGGACAGACCCTGGCTTGTCATCGAAAATGAACAGAGCAAGAGAGAGAGAGAGAGAGATAGAGGAAAAGAGATAGAACGTAAAGTCCACCATCTCCGTAGAGCTGGACCGAGATGGATTCTGGATATCGAAGAGAGAGAGAGAGAGAGAGAGAGAGAGAGAGAGAGAGAGGAGAAGAGGGAGAGGAGAAATGTGAGAGATAGGAACGATGAGAAACGCATTGTCTCGTACGTTTCTGCTCGATGACGATCGTGCCTCTCCGTTTGCTGCTTCGAGTTGGATGACAGTTCCCGCGATCTTATCTTGTCGTCGATTAGACGAGCTCGACGTTGAGAGACATAGCAGCTTCGAGTTCTTCCGGTGGTATACTGTGGATCGCTGGACCGAGGAAAGACAGGCTCGGTCATCATCCGATTTCTAGAATCGATCGTGGGATCTATCGATTGATCCTTATTCATCGATGAAAAAAGAAAAAAAAAAAGAAGAAGAAGAAAAGAAAAGCAAAAGAGATCTAACGTTTTTCAAATAATACGATTTCACAAAAGTGTTCCGTGAATATGCAAATGTTGATCACGATAATTTGTTGAAATCAAAATCATTAGAGTATCGATAACGAACAATCGTGTTTGTATCATCTAATCGATATCGAACGCTGTCTAACATCCTACTCCATTCAGAATACATTCTGAGAGTTAGCGAATCCATCGAGATAATGTCCAGTACCAAATCGACGCGTTTAGAATGCGTTGGGGATTTCTAAACGTCCTTTTCGAGAATGTCAGATAGCAAAATTCAAGAGATTCGCCTACACCTGCCGTGTATTTTACATTTTTCGTCTTTTACCCTCTTAACGACAGACCACCATTTATATGTTAAAATATAATACACGTAAGATACTCTGAATGAAAATTCATTTTCGATCCTTCGATCTATCGAGACGTGTATACAATATATAAAAAAAAAAAAATAAAAAAAGAAAAATAAATAAATAAAATACAAGAGAATGAAATTCGTTTCATGATTCCATACCATGAGATAGGCGTTTTGTGGTATATAACATATATATAATATACGAAAGATTTTCTAGATGAAAATCATTTTCGATCCTTCGATCTATCGAGTTGTTTATACAATATACAAAAAAAATAAATAAATAAATAAAATACAAGAGAGTGAAATTCGTTTCATGATTCCATACCATGAGATAGGCGTTTTGTGGTATATAACATATATATAATACACGAAAGATTTTCTAAATGAAAATCATTTTCGATCCTTCGATCTATCGAGATGTGTATATAATATATCAAAAAAAAAAAAAAAAAAAAAAAAAAAAAATAGAAAAATAAAACAAATAAAAAAATAAAAGAAAATTCATAAAATATAAGACGAGGAAATGAAATTGCATTTCATGATTTTATACCATGAGAAAGACATTTCGTCGTATACCAGGTGAAACATATGATCTCTTACAACCTAGGAAGTAGTTAATATATATATATATATATATATATATATATATATATATATATATATATATATATATATAGAAAAAATATCAAAATCTATGCATCGGATAAGGATATGTTATATAAATTTTGTTAAATACCTCATTTACTTGAAATGATATAAACGATCTTATCCTCTTTAGTTCTCTCATGGAAAACCGTATTATATTTTCGTAAGAGAGATCACGTTGCTCACCCGGTAGGTATATATCATAAGATATATATATATATATATATACACCATGGTACATATATATTCCATAATAAAATCCAATCTTGACGTTGGGAGTATCCGAAAGGATCGTTACCTGTCGTGAAGAGAACGATAGCCTTGAGGCAGCTGTACTCCGCGGAATCAACGTGTAGGGCCTTCAGCTTCTCCACTTGTTCTTGGAAGATCCTTATGTGATCCATGAAGGCTACCACGCGATCCGCCGCCATAGGGGACGCGTGAAGACCCGCCGCTGCTAAAAGTGGCGCCACGTGAAGCGGCATAGAACATTGGCTCGCATTAAGTACGAATAACTCGCTCCAGACTAGCCTTAGCAGTGCCACCTGATCGGTCACCTGAAGGTCAGGGAAAAACGGTATGTTTCTTGCCCATTCAACAGCCGAAAAAAGAAGCCTCGCTGCTAATTCGCAGATACTGTCGATTCCCATGATGTTACTTTGTTGCACGCACTGTCCGTATCTCGATGTTGGATATGGTTCAGCGCGCAGGAGCAGGCTTATATAGGACGAGAGGTAGGAGTGCCCGTTTAGGCTCGCGCACGCGACCGCGTCACCGTTCGTCAAAGCGAATTGTCCTGGTAGACCTGGCAGCGATGGCTGCGACGGTGGCACGCGTCCTCTCTGAACGGCTGAAACAAAAAGAATAGAATGTTATTGATATATAATATTTTTTCTTTTTTTCTTTTTCTTTTTTTTTTTTTTTTTTTTTTTTTTTTTTTTTTTTTTTTTTTTTTTTCTTTGCAAATTCATTTCTATCATACGTATTGTCAATTAAACATGTGATTATATATTCAAAGGACAATGATAATCGTTGAAGACATAAGTTTTACGATACTTATTACGAGCTTAACATAGTTCTCTCGATGATATTATTATCTATTAATTATGACTTGATGAAACTATTTATCGATATACATATTTGTAAATATACTTCTTTTCTTTCTTTCTTTTTTTTTCTTTTTTTTTTTTTTCTCTTCTTTAATCGAAAAATATTTATATCTATCGTGAAAGAAATATTTCGAATTTTTATGTTAACGTTTTATTTATATAAATTTTTTATAACAGTTGAATTAGTTAATAATTAGTTAATATATTTGCGATTATTAGTCATCAATTATAATTATTTACTTCCTTGAATCGTATTTATTGCCCTCCCTGATCGCCAGGTATTTATAGTAATTAAGAACGGCTAATTAAATAAGGAATTATCGTCGTAAAGGAAACGTAAATCACATAGGCATACTTGCACGCGACATTTTACGAGAGTGCCTCCCTGCAAACAGGAGAACCGACACCTGGCCAAGCGAAGGAGATGTCTCCCTCGAGTATGAGCAAATATTTTACAACGACAAACTTGTTTGAAAGGAGGAGCAATACAGACGATTCAGTACAACATCGTCGTAGAAACGTACGAAAGAGAGAAAAATGATTGAAGAGAAAAAAGAAAGAAAAAAGAAAAAAGAAAAAAAAAAGAAGAAAGAAAACTTTTTTCTTTTTGCATTTTTCTTCCTACCTTTTTCTCTCTATTCCTTTCCCTCCCTCTATTCCCATTAAAAAAAAAAAAAAAAGTCCAGTGCCCATTTCATCCTAATGCTTCCGTGAACGTCGAGAAGTAATCAGTACGATTGATTTCCGTGACTTTTACTTCGTAGTCACCCATCGAGTTTATTATCGTAATCTGTGCTACGATCTAACATAAGAGGATATGTTGACGATCGTATAATAAGAAAGAGTGAGAGAGAGAGAGAGAGAGAGAGAGAGAGAGAGGGGGAGGGAGGGAGGGAGATAAAAAAAAAGATAAGTACGAAGTGTGTAAATCGATTCTATCCTCCCACCTATTACATTTTATATGCGTACGACAAGACGGAAGTAAATGTTAAAACAAAGTAAACATATCATGATATTTATTCAGCCGTGATAGCTACTTATCTTTTATCTTAATTTATTCAAATTATGATAAGTTAATTTCGTAGATAAAGAAAAAGGAAAATAAAAGGAAATAAAAAAAAATTTGTATTTAATAAATCATTAACAATCCATAATGCCATGTAATTTTAAAGTCTTGTCACTTACGTACGTGCTTACATACGATATATATTTATATATCGTATGTTTCAAATTTTATTGTTCTTCAAGTATTATTGTTTTCATTTCGACGAGATTAATTATCGAAATCGTATAAATATATTCGAAGTTTATCTTTTAATTTCTATTTTTTTGTTTTTTTTTTTGTTTAATATTATTCAAATATAAGTTATATTTAATGATGTAGTTACAATTATACTATTGCAATCAATGTAATGGTATATACTTGTAACTTTTGCTTTATATAAATTTCTCTTTTTTTTTTTTTTTTACGCAAAAAAATTAGAGTTCAATGAGTATTAAAAACAAATAGAACGTCACGTTTCATTCGATGAACATACGTGTACATTTACGACAATAATAAATAACAGATAATAATAATAAATAATAATAAATAACAAAGAAAATGTTTTTCTTTATCGTAAACAATTTCGTAAGAATATCTTTCTTTCCATTTTTTTTTTCTTTTTTTCTTCTTTCATTGATGATCGATTGAAAACAAAAACATACGTAGATCATTCGTTATCAATTAAAAATGAAATTTTATTCACTTCATGAATACTCAAAAATATAAATTTTTTCAATCCTATCGATATTTGTCTTTTCATTTCAACAATGAAACGAAAAAAGATGAAGATGACTATGATGATGAAGAAGAAGAAGAAGAAGAAGAAGAAGAAGAAGAAGAAGAAGAAGGTAAAAAGAAAACAGATAAAAATCATTACGATGTCTCGTCTTCCTACCGCATTCTTCTTCCGCAATTATCGCCCTTAACTACCGGCCTATATCTCTTTGCCGTTACGAGAAGGACACGAACGTTGTTCCCTCTTCTCGTTCTTCTTCATTCTTCTTCTTATTCTTCTTCTTCTTATGTGCCGTTTGCCACGAGTCCATTCGCGATCGGCGCCACTACTTTCACTTGCAATAACCGTAAAGGTAGAAAGAACGTCGGCAAATACGTCGGGGACTCGACGAGGGGATCGTCTTCGAAATTAATAAAAAAGGGCTCGTCACGATTTTCATTTGACGAATACATTTATTAATATTTCATAAGTATTGACCAATAATAATAATAATAATAATAATAATAATAATAATAATAAAAAAAAAAAAAAGAATTAAAAATGTATCCCCTGAAAACATAATCTGGATAAAAAGAGAGAGAAAAAAAAAGAAAGAAAGAAAGAAAGAAATAAATAAATAAATAAATAAATAAATAAAGACAAAGAGATACCAATAACTTTTTAAACGCATAAGCGGTTTATAGAAATGAATTAAAAAAAAGAAAAAAAGAAAAAAAGAAAAGAAAAATAAATGAATTCGATGAATCGATATTTCGTAATGTTTATCTTCATATTTACGTTCTTTAAAAATCATCCGCAAAGTTCGTAATTGTTATCTTTTTCTCTTCTTTAAATATAAAATAACAAACGATACTGTAAACGTTCAAATATTGATTTAATTCCTTTGTATATATTTATAAAGAAATAATGTACATCGGTGCCATTTTAAATTAATCTTGAAAATATTGCAAATGTCAAAATTGTATATTGGAATGGTGTAAGTTTGTTCACCACCTTTTCTTTTCTTTCTCTCTCTCTCTCTCTCGAAGAAAAAGAAGAGAATATAAAAATAAAAAAAAAAAAAAAAACAATGGAAAACAAAAGAAGAAAAAGAAAGGGAAAAGAAATTGTGGAATCGAAAGGAGACGAAGATGCACGCGAACGAATGGTACGAGAGAGGTGAAGAGGGAGGTGGACAGTTAGAAAGACGGATAGGAGAAAAAAGAAGAGAGAGAGAGAGAGAGAGAGAGAGAGAGGGGGACAGACAGACAGACAGACAGAAAGAGGGAGAGAGAGAGAGGAAGAGAGGATACGAGTCCTGCACGTAGGAGAGTCTCTCGACGAGAAACGGCGCCCTGCTGTGAAGCGCCTGGATTCCAACCTTCGCCCTGCGGCAAACGAACGAATGGACTCTCTTCGTATTTTCTCTCTCTCTCTCTCTCTCTCTTTCTCTCTCTTTCTCTCTGTGTCTCTCTCTCTCTCTCTCTCTCTCTCTGTCTCTCTCTCTCTCTATCTATCTTTCCTTCTGCACCCTCTTCCAAGTCCTCGTCCATTCCTTTTTAGTTCCGCGAGAGAGAGAGAGAGAGAGAGAGAGAGGAGAGAGAGAGAGGCTCGTCTGAGAAGCTTGATCGAAGAACATCGAGAAAGAATGTCGAAAATATTATAAAATTTCTATTTTATTTATAATATTTTTGATCGAATTTTCATTGATTCGTTTTAAAAATAAATTTTAAATAATTTCTTAATTTTATTTTGTTACGATAATTTATATACACACACACACACACGCACACACACACACACACACACACACACACACACATATGTATATATATTAGGTGGATCGGAAAGTAATGTCGTTTCTGCGCATGGGCGATATTTGATTGTGATTGAAAATAAAAATTTGTTAAAAATTTATTCGTTTGAATTTAATTTAAGAAAACGACATTACTTTCCGATCCCCCTAATATACATATATTTATATATATATATATATATATATATATAAATAATATAATATAATATAATATAATATAATATAATTTTCTTATCATTTATGTAAAATTATATTACTCAAAGATAATATATATCTTTTTCAATAAAATTTGTATCAATTTGAAACATTAATAATTCTAATATATATTTCTCTAGATAAAAATTTGGAAACTTCGCATTATAAGCAAAGTTTTAAATTGATTAAAATTGACAGTGAGATGAGGGATATACGAATACTTCTATAACTCACTGTATATGTATGTGTGCCTGTATAATTTGTTTTGTTAATATTCATAGATTTATAACAATTATTATGCATTATATTATATATGTATATAGGTGGGTATATATTGCTATCTTTCTCTCTCTTCCTCTCTCTCTCTCTCTCTCTCTCTCTCTCTCTCTCTCTCTTTCTCTCTCTCTCCCTCTCTGTCTCTTTCTATTCGCAAAATCAAAGATTCGAGTCAGGCAAAAGCGTTCGACTACGGTAGAATTACGTAATGATAGGAAGGTGATACGCGAAAGCAGAGATAAACTTGTCCTCGAGTATGCGGGTAAGCTTGTTCAGATTCAGACGGATAAGAAAGAATGATTCATTGTCAGTCTTTTCGCCAACAGTGACTACACTTCGAAATGGAACGAGAGAATTCGAAATCGTAGACACTGGAAAAGTATATTATACTGAAAAGGGGCATGGTGTTCCTTGTTACGATTCATCTTACTATTTGTTCGATGTCATGTTCCTGCTTCGAGATTAAAAGAATAATAAAATAAATAAATAAATAAATAAATAAATAAATAAATAAATAAATAAATAAATAAATAAATAAATAAATAAATAAATAAATATAAAACAACAATAATGAAATTGATTTTCTACAGGTTGATATTAATTATTTTGCCAATTATTTATGACACTGAAAAAAAATCTATAGTTCCAAGAAAAAAAAATATATATATATATATTATTTTTTTTTGTATTCGTT